CATGCTGATTTTCGAACTTGACCTGCGTATTATGAATATTCATCAGTTCTGTAAGTTTCAAGTCAAAAGGTAAAATGGTTTTCCACTTATCGTGTTATCGGTGCTGCATATATGCTGAAAAAAGTGAAAAAACAGCATAAATTCCCTAAAAGTGACCCGACCATGCTGATTTTCGAACTTGACCTGCGTATTATGAATATTCATCAGTTCTGCAAGTTTCAAGTCAAAAGGTAAAATGGTTTTCCACTTATCATGTTATCGGTAAAAGTGCACGGCGACGACGGCGACGACGGCACCAACGGTGACGACGGCGACGACAGACGCAGATGATGGCTATATGTACAGACACATCTGTGTCTGTACATAAAAATTAATACATATGAATACCTAATGCATGTTAAAGTTAGGAGTTTGACTTAATACCCTTTAACTAATACTTGTTGCTGGGTAATGATGCTTTATTGAGGATAAGAATGCATTTCCAAAATCAAAGTTATTACTATAAAAAGATGTGTAGTAAATTGGAATCTCAAAATGTGTAAATTGCAGCTACAGACAGAGAATTCGATTCCTTAATCATGATGATAAACATGAATAAATGCATGCACAAAAACATACATGTACACACTCTTTCACGCTTTGTAGGGATACAAAAAAAGGTACTTCAGAGGGATAAACCAAAATGAAATAAAGAAATACCCACCTCATAATTCAAATAGTCCTCATTCCCTGCTTCCACAAAGTATATAACAGTGGCAGTCACTTGGCAACAATACAGGAAGAACAGAAGCAGGACCAGCTTGGTTGACGTCTGCTCCTGCCACCTATAATTGAGTTATACATATCAGTTACTGCTGCCATCTAGGATTCAGTCACATGTGTACATGTAAGACTGTCACAGGCAGGTGTAAACTGATCCTGCTATCAAAATGGCACCAAATCACAAGGGTTAGTTTGAAACAAGAACTTAAGCCCAGAAATTGGCCTACTAAATTTTTTGGACCAAAAATGTGCTATACTTCAGTTCAAGACAAAGTAATTTGAAATAAACATGAACAGAATTTACCTAGTAAGAACACCCTCTATTAGAAATCGAACTTAAATTTGAGTTTTTTTTTTTATAATTCAAAATGGACAATTACCAGAAATAAGTTTCAAATTGAAGGTCACACAAACCACAGGCCAATTCCAGTGGAGTGAATGCTAAAGAACTCTCAAGCTTCCGAATGTGGGCCACAAAAACCACAGGCTCATATCCTCCAGACAGTTAAATATGCCACTGCAGTATAAGACTATGCTCCCATAAACCCAATGTATTAGCAGGATCGATCTAACTCTGCAGGATTTCTTGCTAAAGTAATTTCAGTGAAATCAGCTTAATTGTCTAGCTCGCCCCCTTCACAAGGGGGNTAATTGACTATCATTAATTACCCACAAGCAGCTTGTGTAGATGTGGCAACCACTTACACTGAACTCAATTTAGCGAGAAGACCCACAGAGTAAGATCATTCCAGCCAGTACGATGGGTTTATGGGGACGCTCCCTAACTTACCACCTCCAGAAGAAAGGGAACAGTATGACCCGTATGAGACTCTTCCTGGTGATGTGGGACCAGGGTTGCTTTGGTTTGGCCTTGGTGAAGGTGGAACCTGAGACATGAGAGAACACTTGGTAATATATACTACAGCAAGACCACACAATACCATAATGATTATGTTTTATATTATCTTACTGTAAAAATTATATTGTACTGTATGGTGACCATACTGTGTTTCATTTTTTTAAACTGTGTTAGAGAGAGAGAGAGAGAGAGAGAGAGAGAGAGAGAGAGAAGGGGGTGTGAGGGACACAAATAGGGGTGAGAGAAATGGGAAGGATAAAAGATGGGGTTGGGGAAAGAAAGGAAGATGGAGGGACTGAGATAAATAAAGTGAAATAAAGACAGGGGGGGAGTATACACACCCCTCACTAAGTCCACATCTATTAGCTCAGGTTTCAGACTGGCTGTCTTCCTTGGGAGATGATCTATATTCTACAAGGATCATAAAAAGAAATCAAGAAACTTATGTCATGAAAATATAACAATATAGGTTCACAGACACAAGGCTATGAAAACTGGTGAATTACACAAATCAAGGTAAAAATACAAATTTAGATAACAATTTTCTCAACGGCTGTGTTTAGGATATATTTACCCATGTGGTAAATAGTTGAAATTTCAAGGAAAAACTTTGGCTATGTAATTTAAACGTCTCAGATGCATTGTAGACTTTCAACCAGCAATTAGTGTTCCCTATTGACACAACTACCGTCAAGATTAGGGCAGTAAACTTATAATTTTATGAGGGAACAGTTTCATTAGCTCTGTATGCATAAATTCAAATTACTGTTTTTCTTTTTATCAAGAGCTTGTAAAATATGTGGGTATTACCTCCAATATTTCTGTGACTGTCAGTCACCATCATCAGGGAGTAAAAGTCATTTACTCCCTGATGATGGTGACTGACAGTCACAGAAATATTGGAGGTAATACCCACATATTTTACAAGCTCTTGATAAAAAGAAAAACAGTAATTTGAAATTATAATTTTATATTTTACTGACCTTGATGACTTTCTGTTCTACAGAGTGCTCCCACAACTGCTGATCATAGTAACCAATCTGAAAATATATTATGATAATTATTATTAATATATTATTATAATTACAATTAATTTATTATTATAATTATTATAATAATACAAGACAAATGAGAATCATATCAGATAGCCCCAGACTTAGGGACTTTTACACAAAAGCAAGTGAGATTCTGTAGGATTTGGAGGGGAGTGATGTCAGACACCATGGCAGAGGAGTAGGTGGAAATGAATAAAAGCAGACAGAATTCAATCACAGGTTTTTTTCTGGTTGTTTTTTCTTAGGTTTTGTAGTATTACAGTCTACTGCACAACAGTAGGCATTCATCACGTTTTGTGCATCACTTTTGTATTGGTTTCTAAAGACATCATTAACAGCACACAGAATTTCATCTTTATTGCTGAAAGGTTAGCCAGACAATGTCATGCCCACAGAAACCTGTAAAAGAAGACAAATAATTTCTTTCTTTTTTCTCTTATATATCTGAATGTAACTGCTTTTTTTAGGCAATGTCTGTAAACAGGTTTTTACATCTGCAAAAGATAAAAATTGTAAACAAGGTCAGCAACAAAAATAGCGAGAGTTCAGGGACTCGGATCTGAGTGATACATCTTTCCAACAGACAAAATCAATACCAGTTCAACTCCCTCAGCAACAGCAGGAGCTATTTTTAGCAGACTTAATTAACTTTATCACCTTCTGATGACAAACATGGATCTTCAGGGAGAGATAATTTATAAAATATTAATAACATTTGGCACAACAAAGCTTTTACATTTACAGGCTCTCTATACCATCATAAAGGCAATATTAATATTGCAGTACAGTATACAATAAAACAAGCTATGTCGTTAATGATCACCCTGAAAATCAAATCAAAGGTGGCTGAAAACTCACCACTAATGTCAGCACACTGAAAAAAACAAGTTTTCTGTGGCTTATGAAACCCAGGGTGTTGTTAACAACATACTAAATATTGACTTTCTGAGGTGGCTATATTTGACATGTAGAAGTCAGTGTGTGGTAAAAGCTTGTACCTCGTTATGTCATGTTGATCTCCCAAACAGCTGGATGGAATTTGATTCTGGATATTTATAGGCCTTGTACAAAATGTGAATGGTCTAAGATTAGAATTTCCTTCATCTCTCTTACCAAATACCAAATGCACAATTTTATGTGAAACAGATGGGTCTTAGTGAAGTGTCAAAATAAATAAATAAATAAATAAATAAATAAATAAATAAATAAAATATAATAAAGTAAAATAATAATAATAGTATTAAAATAAAAAATAAGATGTTTATTAAAATAAAAATACTACAGCTTGAGTTGTAAACTGTAAACCCAAGAGGTAGTCCTTTATACAAATACAACTACCAGTATCAATTTTCAAGAAACTAATGGCTTTACTTACCCTTGATATTTAAAACACAGACAAAAAACTTTAAGTATAATTTCTAGTTTTTGATAAGATTATGTATATGTAGGTTTTTGGTCTCTCTCTCTCTCTCTCTCTCTCTCTCTCTCTCTCTCTCTCTCTCTCTCTGTACTACAATCAAAATAGCCCTGGATTCTTTCTTCAGTCCAGCATACTCAAACTACCAGTAGAAAATCACTTGAACACATGGCACTGTGCTGTCAAAAATTCAACATCTGTTCTTTGCAACATTTGTTGCACTCATAAATTACAATTTTTAATTAAAAAAAAAAAATTTTTTTTTGAAGTCAACTGTATCTGTAATGTGGTTTAGGTCAACATAGAATGTTGATTCAAATGTTCTCAAAGAGCCATTTCTAGCAATTGACATTCAACAACCAGCATTAAGTAACATTAGATAACCTTACACATCCTATGACATTATCAAACTTGTTTAAGATAAAAATAAATTGCCTCTGCAGCTTAAAACTCCATGAACTGACGGATAAAAACCTTGATATATGGTGCAAATAAACATTTAGGAATAAGGTACATAATGGTCACTATATATTTAAAAAAGTATACATACTGCATCCTTTACTGGGAATCTTTCTCTCTCTTTCTCTCTCTCTCTCTCTCATGTTAAACAAATCCAACTTTAAAAACCATCACTGGGGTAGCGCTAGCAATTTTTTTCCCTTAGCCAAATCACCACTTTTTTGTTAATTTGTTATCAAAATGGTTATAATTTGACTAAAACAAGTCAAATCAAGCCCTTTTTCTTTAGCCAATTTAAGGAAGTTTTAGCATTTGGCTAAATAGGCGAGTGTTAGCGCTACCCCAGCATCATTTAAAAATTGAAGAAAAAAAAAAAAAAACTCACAGAGCCACTGTCTGAATCTACTATCATTCTATGCCATAAGGTGACTGCTGGGTGACAGCCGACAATGGACACATGACACCTACCTTCTGCTGGTACCATGTCACCTGTCGACTAATCCGCTCCATATCTTACTGCACTCTTTGAAGTATTGGTCTTCTCCAACTGTGGCATAGGTCTAGCTGCAAAGTGACAAAGAACAACAACTTAATTGTTATATATACCTGACTTCTTAATTAAAGCTGCAAATTTTCATAAAGTGAATATTTGAATAGAAATTTAATATAAAACTGAATATATATTATACTGCAGAACCAATTAGCCACTGGAATGATGAGAGATAATATACTAGTAGAGATCCTTGCTGCTACAGACTTTTATCTTAATTATAATTATTTATTTATTTACTTCTTTGTTTATTTATCTATTCATTTATATGGTTTTGTCTCTGATCAGAATGAAAACCATCATTTGACAATCATGAAAATGGTTGCAATATAACAGAAAATGGACTCTCTCTTAGGGATAAATCATATCAGATTTCTTTTGTTGTTGAAAATATTTGACAAATATGAAACCTAAATAAATATGAATAAATGATGAATTTGGGGAAAACAGTAAAAAATTTTAAAACTTCCTACATCAATTTCCAATATGGTGAGTATTTGACTGTCATTTAGCTTCTGAATCATTTAGGAAGAGGTATGAAAAATACTGTACCTAATATTTTATTAATATCCTTCATAGGAAATTTTTACTAAAAATAAAGTCTGAATTTTAAAAAGAACTATCAATACTGGCACTTGCACCATTCCTTAAAATATATTTTCTATCAAAACAACTCATTGTGAACTCAAATCTAATAGCTTTCCTCAACATAACAGAGTCAAATTTGCATGAAATGCCATCTCTTTTTATTTATTCTTTTCACCTTGTCAGCATGTATTGATTTCCTTCAGTGTTCATGGCACAGCAGCTTTTTAAACGCAATACTTTATTGATTTTACACTGTAATGCGACACACTTGGCACATCAAAAGAAAACCAATACATAATGTGACTTGCATTTCAACCTGACTCCACGTAAGGTCGCACTCTACCACTACTTCACTTTTTGCCCTTACATGCTAAGCAGTATGCCAAAAATTGAAGGAACAGTCACTACTGTTTGAACTAAAACCACTTTAAGTCTTAGACTTAATCCAGGAAGTATGTGTGGCATGACTGCACCCACCTGCTTTGGAAATCAACCACTCGATGTTGAATGAACTTATATCCTCTGATAACTAAGGTTTTAAGCTTTAATAATAATAATAATAATAATAATAATAATAATATATTTATTTATTTATTTATTTAAAGTCTAAAATCCAATTATGTTCATTAAACTAAGTTTACAAAATATAGAATATAAAAGGCTAGTAAAAGAAAAAGAACAATTGCTTAAAACAAATTGATTTAATAATGAGGAATCAAACAGTGTTAGTTCATCAACTTCATGATAAAAAAGCCCTTTAAAAAGTTTACATTGCTCTTTTAGCCTGATTGTCTTTATAAGTCTCCTGAAAAGTCTTCAGAGTAAATAATATTAAAAAATAACAGTGCACAATTAATTGTCAGGTAGCACTCACTGTGCCATTTTACCCATGAAATATCAAGCTGAACTTTTCAATGTAATATTGTACTCAGTGCAGTACCTGACCTTTTCAAAGTTTACAGTTTTATAAATAAGTACCCTGATGAGAGTCTTATCTTGATTGCAGTACTGATGGGCAAATACCATACTTCTCAAACAATTGAAATCTCCACTTGACCTGTGCACTGTTCCAGAAATGACACATGAGCAGAGACTGTCTGAGATGAAACAGATCACAATTGGTTGAAAAATTCACGCAGATTTGGTTAGTCCAGATAACAAGTTCACTTTTCTTCCTGCTTGGCCTATTGAATATTATCTCAATGCACAACAATGCTTGAATGGGCAAATCAAATTGATTAACTGATTTTATTTATTTATTTTTCAAATAAAGGGTTACCAATGAAAGCTGTGAAACAGACTCGGAAGTTTTTGTATAGCGCAACGCAATTTCACTATCAGTGTTACTATTTTTGATATTTCCATGCAACATTTAAAACGGAAAAAAGGCTCAGATACAAGCAATTGGCTTCTCATTTTAATAACAAAGACAAAGAGCAGCCTTCAATGATTTTGTCCACTTACCAGATGTTAAGTTTTGTCCATTTTCACCAAATTATTTAGAGTTTTTCTCAAGATCAGCTGTGTCGTTTTCGATTACCATACAATATACTTTCCGCCCTACAGATACAAAAGAGTTCCATTAGTTATACAAGAAAGTGTATTTTTCATGTTTTCATGAGGAAGCTATTCAGTTGTGGTTCCAAACTCATACAGGACCACTTTATAAAATACATTATATTTGTTAGTTTTAGTTCGCCTTTAAACCGGCTGTAGGTCCAATGGGCTTTTAGACTTTTAGACCGTATTTCTCACCTGCCACGATCGACCTGCCACCTAACGGCTAAACGTTGCATTAATCATTTGAAAACTTAGCTAACAAGTGCAAAATTTTTCCGGTTGTGATTTGTTGACCCCTGTCACTTATTGTTTCATTACCAGGGTATCATTTCCTATGTCAATAATCCTTGACTTTTGTCTTGGATTGTTTAAAACGTTTATACGTTATATATAAGCTCCAAACAAAAGGTGAGATCATCCACCTGAGGTCACGTGACCCGGAATCCGCCATTTTCGACGCAGAATGTATTGCCACAGGTAAACACCGCTTGATCAGAACACTCGGGTGCCATGGAGAGAGACACTTCGGTGCTAGTCGTGTTATTATGTTTAACACTGACCATTGCAGTGACTTCTGGTCAGCCATTAAACTGGAACCAGTGGTCGAGCTGGGGGAATGACCCCAACCCAGTGACGGGTAACGATTTTTACTATTACCAGCCTGAAGTGCAGATCAAGTACGGGAGAGTCCGAGGGTATTCTATCCAGTATAGGGGACATAATTGGAGATATGGGTACAGGAAATATGTGAACGTGTTCCTAGGGGTGCCGTATGCGAAACCTCCCATTGGGACGTTGAGGTTCAGGGTGAGCANTTTTTATTTTCTGGTTTTTGTCTGTACATTTGACAGCTTTGCTGCCTTGTTTTATTATTTAATTAATTGTTTATGACGCATGCATCACAGTTTGACATTCATGAGTCATGGATATTCGTTCATTAAATTGTTTTTTTTTTTTAGTTCACAAATATCTTTGTGTGTAGATAGATGTTTAAAAAAGTGCAAATTGCACACAGTTATTTGAGTTAAGTTTCATTTTAAACATTTTGAAATATACTGTAAGACCCAACCTTGATTCAAGTTTGAGGATATTTGTTTGGTTTTGTAGTTCAAGGAATATAGACCGAAGCAGCTATACTTGAACATTTAACGTTTTTTTAATGAAATAAAGTTGTTGTGGATGTAAAACATATCTTTTGAAACTAAATAAGCCAATTTGAAGAGAATTTGGGCACCTTTGCTGCTTTAAATTATCAGCCTTACTAAAAAATATGGTCTTTTCAAGATAAGACATATAAATGGTTTAATTAACTGACAATTGATAAGATTAGGGTGGTTACTGGTAATTAATTTATTAATTGATTAGTCAATAAATTATAATTGAGCAGCCTGTCTGTTTTTTTTTACCCCACTGCGATATTAAAACAAATCAGCACAGCTGTCAAACATACAGACCTAAAGCAGAAAATAACAAGAATAGTGCTCAAAAGAGGATTTTTGTTAATTTTGATGGAAAACAACTTATTTGTTTTAGTTTCCTTACCTTTTTAACTCAGTTTAAACACAAATTTACATTTCATGCACCTGTAGCCCCCAGAGGAGCCTGACAAGTGGATGGAGAGAGACGTGGAGAGGTATAAAACATGGGATGCCACCTACTA